GCGTTATCCCTATAAAAAGCCACAAATGTCTGTTTAACAACACTGCGACGTGGCGAATGTGACTCGCTACTAACCACGGTTACTCCTCTTACTTATCCGGATGGTCTTGATCAAACTACAGACGTCAGTCATTCAATACGAAGGTTTCCTGTCAGTCCTTCTCACGCGGACGACCCGACGGAAAAGAACCGCAAATACGGCAGCACATTTACAAACTCGAGCTACACAGCCACCCGCATTCATATCTATTTACATTCGTATTCACCTATCACATAGATCCATAAGCTAATGATAAACTTGTACCGTTAGTTACATTTGGCAGTCCTTAACGTTTGCATCACCGTGCTCGTGCCCATGCAAGTGTGTGTCACATTTACTTATCTATAAATGACCGTTGCACTCTCCCCACTGCTATTCTACTGCTTTTTTGAATCCATTGGACGCAAGTCTGGATTCCATCCGCAACATAGACTTACCAATGTAGCCGATGAGTGATCTGCCTTATCTGCACTATATCCTTCCTGCATGCTCAGAACATGTTCAATGAACTGGATGCTCCTGGTTCACGTACAATAATGTCGGCCGGTGGCCGAAAGCATTGCTCGCCTGGCTTGCAACCTTTAGGTCACCGGTTCGAATCCGCGTAGGAATGGCCGTCCTCGCGGTATACTCAGCGCACGCGCGACCGGTGGTGGTCGCGTGGCAACGAAGTGTCGATACAGTGTGCCGGCGTACTGCTGGTGACTTTTTTGACAGTGATGCCGTTCGTAGGTGGTGATTCATTCATTCTCAATGTTGTAAGTACAAATTCTAGACGTAGCCAGACACCCATCACACGCTCTGGAAAGCACTGTACGGTTGTTTCATTCTTTCGGGACTCGTCGGCAGTACACATTCTATCTGACTCCTTTGGGGCTCCAATCCGCAACTCGACTGATGCCACTAAGCTACGGGGGGTGGTAACAACCGTCGTTCTTAAGTGACTATATTTGCTTTTCTAGGCGTATGATGGCTGCCTGACTGAGTCTAAACGTGATGCATTTCCACGAATGCCATTCAACTCCCTTCGAAATCCGTTGCTAAGATACATATCCTCCCGTGTGTGAAATATTCGAACCCATCAATCACATGCAGAAGGAGCATTGGTGGACCTATAACACCCCTAATGAACGATGCCAGTTACTGGCTTGTGTTTTACTTCTTCTCTACTCAGTCGTACCGTCGACGCACACTCTGTGAAACGTAATGAGTTGCGTGGCAACAGCAATTCAAGGATTTGTTCCTTGATTATCCTCTCTAACACCGTTCGCACGACAGGCATGTGGCTAATTTTACGATGTAAGAAATATACGAATGCCGGGATCACAATCCTCTGAGTGTCTATCTTCCTGGTACAATCATCAAACCCAATCTCCAACCTGTTTTTCCATCCCATGCTCACCAATATCGTTGTCACCCAGTCTTGTGTGCATTTTCCTCTGGTGCCACATGCATAGTTTAAGTCGCTTTTCCATGATTCCCACTTGCGCCCATACCCTAGTTCAGCCCCGATTGTGATTTTTAGTTTACTCCTTCATCGACATCTGTGATCCATTTGTTGAGCTCTGCAAGCGTATTGCTCACATTCCACCCTAATGCGCACCCAGCCCTCGTTTCGTCCGTGCGATCAAACAGTCCTATCCTTTCGCTCGTCCTCTAAGCACACCGTGCACACCCTCACTCCGTACTCTAGTCGCTCTGAAGCGTAGCTTCTTGGCGCTCGAACCGAAGCGTTTGTCATCGTAGCTGGTTTGAGTTCGGAGCATTTTTTAATGATATGTACTGTTAAGGCTCACATGTTCGTTTGTCAATAGTGCCATTATATATTTCCGGCTTTGTTGTTGATTTAATCTCGATAGAAATACGTTACTCGAGATTTCCGAGCGAATTTTGTCGCTTCCAGATGGTAGTTGTTAATCTTTTGGTGACAGTCATTTTTGTGGCACTGAACGTGTTGTTTCTCTTTGTTGGAGTGGAAGTGGGACACAGACCCCCTAACGTTAGCATTGCGAAAGATAAGTCATCTGGGCCACGGTAAAAAGACATATTGAGCGAACTGATCGCCCTAGCGATGGTACGCAGATCAATGGTAATGTTGGGTAGCTCATCTTCTGGGAGTCTAGATACGTTAATATTCCGTATCCACTGTTTTATCCGGTAGCACTGATGATCTAATGGTCTTGGGTAGGCGCACCTGATGCGTACCCAGACGCGCTTTCAAGACGCTAAGCAGGCTTGCAGCAGACTACGCGGAAAGTTGATGAAACCAGTTCGGCATCCACGACACAATTTTCTACGTGTCAGGTAAAAGCTGACTTATTCAGTTCTTCATAGGTAGCACGGGTTGCTATGTGGCAAGCGTAAACGAAGCTGTAATTGGCCGGGCAATGGAAGCCTCGCGTACGTGTGGACGTGAGCAAACGTGTACATGGCTCGGCACAGTCGGATTGGAAGGTAGAGCGGAGGATGTGCGTGTGACCTGTAAGTATAAACCATTCCGTCTGATCAGTACACACCGGTCGAGCATGTCTTGTTGTATATTTCCCCGGTTGGGTTGGACGGTGCACCAGGCAGAGAGCACATTGCCAGGGCAGCGTTAGACCAAATTGATATCATAGTATCAGTGCCCCTGTCTCGGAACATTAGCATCAGCTTTTGGCGGGTTTGAGATTGTAAGCGCGGCTCGCTGCCCTGCTTACATCCCCGAGGACTGTGTGTTTTTCCACTGCAGTCTTATTTCATTGATACGTATGAGAACATGAATTTTATGATTATTTTGGTGTTCGGATGGCGTTTTTCGGTGTTGGCTCACAATGCTCTTGTAATAGCCGAGATTGCTTGTGAGCGTGGTCTACATCAGCTTGTGAGTGAATCCAGGCGGCAGTGTTTAACGTTGTTGTACAGCTCGTATGTCATTATATCAATCTCCGTTGTGTTTGTTTTTAAGTAACCAATTTTTTGTGACCGCACGGTGTTCGCAACGCTTGTTTAGTGTATTCATTTCATACGTTCTTGACTTGGAGTATGTCTACGACATTGCCTTAATCTGTGACAGCTCCCAAACTTGCCAAGCGGCACTGGCTGTCAATTGTTTTGGGTTATGTTTTGCAACCTCGAAATGCAAATTCGTTCTCCAAAACTGCCAGGGAATCAGTTGGACGTCGCCCAAAAATTCAAGTAGCTAATCAGCCATATCGACGCTAGTGGAATAGAAGATGAGATTACGAACGGTATAGCAATAGCACGATTTACTTTTGCTAATCTCCGCCACCTCTGATGCCGGTGCAACATCTCTCTCCCCTTGAAGTGGAGTGGTTACGACGCATCCGTATGTTCAACCCACCTGCGCGGTTGCGAATCCGCCTCCTTCAGATTGATGGATGTAAAGACGCTGGTCGCGCTCGACCACCGGTGCCTTCGCATTTGGATTTTTGTCTGCTGGAGCACCATTTGAGCAATGCGAGTGTTCGGAGCCTCGCATTCGGTGCGGCAAGAACGAACAACTCTTTTAGCACATTTAGTATTTGCACCATGCTCCGATCGTTGGAACACATGTTGCGCATACCAGTATACCGACTCCCGCGTCGTGCGTTGTTTGCGCTCCCGAAGTCTAGATGGAAGAACTAACTTGATCAAGAGAGATAAAGGCTCTTACTTGACGTCAATTGGTTCCACACAACTGCCGCGCTGCTGCTCCAAGGATAATGAACACGTTAAGTTGGATACACTATTTGACCTGGCGAAGAGCCGGCCTCAATGGCGTTTGACTTGTAAGCTTCTTTGTCCCTCCCGGCTAGACTCCCCCTCTAATTACAATCTCCAACAGTACGTAGTACGATATTTAGCATTATATAACTTTTTACTCTTTTTGTATTCTGTACTGTTTGCTATCTCACTTTTCCATATATATTATCTTCTCGTAGCTGAGGTGTTTTTCACCTTTAGTTAACATGTACCGCTAATCATGAATTCATCTGTTCGATCCCCATTCACTACACTATTTTATCTTCCCAGTACGGTAGTCTCAGATAATGTGCCTTATGTGTCACAATTGAACACCGAACAAGACAGCTGATGCCTTGCTGTTGTTAATATTGGCGACACTTTACCAGGTGGTGTGGAACCAGGTCGACGTTCTGTTGCCTACACTCTTATCGGCTTCTTGTTCCCCCTAACACCTTCCATCTCTAGAATTAAGAACTAAGCTCCACCAGAGCATAGAATTCTGGACACCACTTTGTCTTTCTCATTGCTTACATTTTGGCTTCTTGTCTTCTGCGGAACCAGGTCGCTTAGGTTATTTTGTTTTTCTTCAGTTCTTTCATTCCTCCGTTCATCATTATTTCATGACACTACCGATAATTCGTGATATGGTGTTCTTCACTATAATCAACTGGTTTTGTACGTTGCCATTATGCCACATTTTTATTCAGCGAATCTCTTGGTCCACCCGCGATCCTAACTCGCACGATTTTGGCCGCTTGTGTGTTCTTCCCTGGGGTGTCCATACGTACTCAAGCTGAGAATCCAGCATTGTCTACCCATTACCTGTAACATTGTGGCTCATGCTGCTACCGCATCGGATCGGATTGGTAGTTATCATCAGCTGAACTCAGCACTCTTTCCAGGAGACATAGACAAGGCCATGGACGATCTGTATGTTTTGTCATTTACTACGTCGAGTGTTAAAATCTCATTGTCACGTGTCTATTACAGGTATCTATCACTTGCCTGTTGGAATAGACACGCCAGCATGACTTTAGTCCTTCGCGAAATCGTAATTGCTTCATAGACAACTTTTTTGGTGCTGCGCAGAATTCTAAGTTTCACACTTCACGACAATGCACTGTGCAGCTACTGTATATTATGCATGAGCCGACAGCGATTGCGTGTATCCATCGAATCCTTTTTTCTTCTTTCGAATTCACCTGACTTGCCTTCACGCTTGTGCGCTCCGAAAGGCCGTGGTGGGTCCGTACGCGGAGCTCAACAACAGTTCCGACCGCCAGCCCCATCTGCGCAATGTGGTGGCGGAGACTATGTGGTTTCCCAGCCTGCTTATCTTGCATTGAATCAACAAATGCACGGTCTAACTTTTGAACGTGGAATGGGCATCGGTCATCCACAGGGCTATGTCTTTCAAGTAAGCCCATCTGCTTGTCCGGGTTTGTTCTGTTCCAACTTTAATTCACTCTTATTTGTCAATTATGTGGACTAGGTTGACCATTCAGCCTACGGTGTACCTTTGATAGCTCCTCATATCACATTTTTGTTCACTATTCTCCGTCAACCACCGTGACATCCATGAACCCTGCGAGGGATGTTCTCAAGGCAATGAAACGGCTGTCAGTCGCGCAAATCGGTTTTACCGAACCGATTTTATGTTGTTAGACAGTTGTCTCCCGATTAGCATCTGTCCTCGGATTTGGCTTCCAAGGGTCACATGGCTCCTGTATCTACATGGTCACATGTGATTTGCTGTTGACCTCAATACCTTACTGCCAAATTAGCAGTGGCCATCTTCCGTTTGTGCTGTACTCTGTTTATCAGACTACTTGGTGCATAGTCGGTGGGAGCATCGAAACCCATTTATATTATAGGTGACTAACCTGAGGGTTACTCTTATCGGATCGATCAGTAGTTAGGAGTCGGAGTACCTCACTGTTCTGCCCGCCTCCCAGAGTGTGAATTGGTATAATCTTGATGGAACTACCTCATTCCTGTAACTTTGCGATCTGGCTTTTAGACCGGTTTTGGTTTGGCATCTGGTATCAAATTTGATACCCACTCCACACCATGCATCAAAGTCGGTGGATCCATTTGTTTTGAACCGCACTGGACTTGTATGAACCCGAGGTGCTGATGGAATTGTTTATTGTATCGAATAACCTTTAGTCCAACACATGCTGACAATACAGCTTGCATAGTGGGGCGAGTGAGGGATGCAATAGGCAAACACCTTGGTTCAAATGATGGTAATCAAAACGCTACAGTCGCTGACTGTGAAAGTTGGGCATAAGGCGGGGAAGATTAAATGCTTAAATAAGTCCATCGTCATGACTGAATCACGTACATTTATGTGTTGAAACAGCAGATTCCCTTTATGGTTCCAAACAGGAAAATCAGGGGTCGTAGGCTGTGAGATGACTTAGTCATTTCGTGCAAGCTTGTCAATCACATCATCATTATACATGTTAGCTAAAGGTGTAAAACACCTCAGCTACTCTGCCACAATATATAAAAGAAAAAAAGAAGATAGATGCAACAGTTGCATACCAGCTGAGCTACCAGTAACGGATGGACATCGTTCCGGGCTACTAGACACCAAAGAAGATTATTATGTAATATTATATTATGCTACGAAATGAGATTGTGGTTGGAGTGGGAGAGGCTAAGAGGGGTGGGGTGGGACAAAGAAACTCACAGCAGGAACGCCACTGAAGTCGGCTCCTTGCCATGTCACCAAGTGTATCTAGCCAAACGTGTTCGTCTTTTGAACCCCAACCAGTGAGCCCTGAGGCTTCAATCGAGGCCAGCTCCGATATGAGGGCCTTCATTCCTCTTGACCAAGTCATCGCTTGGCCACTCTTCTTACATTCACACCCCTGGCGAGCAAACAACGCACGTCACGGAAGTCGGTAGGCTGGCATGCGCAACACGTGGCCGAGCCATCGGAGCCTGTTGCGTAAAATGACGGTGCTGAGCGGTTCTTTTCTTTTTCCTGTTTCCCGTAAACAAGACGTCGAACACGCTAGTTGCCCACGCGGTGTTCCCACCAGGTGTGAGCCAAACTGTGAGGGCACTGGTGGTCGAATGTAACTAGCCTCTTTATGTCCGCTGATCTAATGTGCCAGGTTTCCTAATCATACAGGAGGGTGTAATGTACCACTGCATTGTACACTGTACCCATCAGGGCGGGAGTGATGTTGCGTCGGCGCCATAGGTGGCGAAGGCTAGAAAAAGCACCTCGGTTCGTGATCTCATTTTCGATCCCAAGGGCGCTGACACAAATTCCCAGGTATTTGAATTTCTGAACGACTTGTAGCTGATCCCCACCAAGGGTCAGCGCAGGACGCGGTCCAGGCCAATCTTGGAGGAAAGCTTTGCACTTCGATAGTGCAAAACGAAGCCCGAAGCGGTTGACAGCCAGTGTTAGTCTGTCCAGTACAGCTTGGCGCCTCTGTGGACTGTCACAGATTATGGCTATATCGTTAGCATACTCCAAGTTAAAAAGTCGTTCTCCTGGAAGTAGCTCCACACGTTCTAAATCATGTCCTGTGAACGCTATCTCCATGACTTCGTCAACAACGAAGTCGAAGAAGAAAGGTGACAGCCGGCATCCTTGTCTCACACCACTGGAGATATTAAAGGGCGACGACAGCTGGCCGTAAGTCCTCACTTTGCCCGAGCTACGCGCGTATAATGCTCGGATAATATTTACATACTTCTCGGGCACACCTTTCCTAAGTAGACCGTCCCAAAGGGCACATCGATCAACCGAATCGAAGACACCTTTGATGTTGAGGAACACGACTGCGGTGGGCCTGTGGTGCACTGCTTATGAGTACTCTGTATATCAACAAGGGCGCACAAGGGAAACGGTTAAATCATGAGACGCCGGCAGACGAAGGTGGTGTGGTGGAAAATCAACCGCACGTCGTACACGAGGGGCACGAGGCAATCTAAACAGATGCTCGGTGAATGAAAGGTTGCAACGGCGCGTCGCTGTGCAAAGGTGCCGCGATTGTCATGCGCGAATTGGACTCGCGTTCCTATGTTCGAGTTATTGTGTTAACCAGACATGCGTCTCTCGATAAACGACTTGTCCGCTCCTCGTTCCGTTCTCAGCATGGTGCGGTGATCAACTGCAAGTGGGAAAAGGATTCCGTGACCATAGCCCTTTGAGGATGGCGATGTACGGGTTTTTGGAGCACTTCGAGAATGTTGCGGAGGCAGGACATGGCGAAGTTGCTTGCCCTGCGGAGCCTCCTTGAGAGCAGGGTGAAGGCTATTCTGGATGCGGCTCGAAAGAACCCTGTCAACTCGGAATGGGCCGCCGTGAAGGAGACACTGGTTGTGGGGTTCGGCAGCCCGGCCGACCTCCAAGGCGCGATGCGGCGGTTCAAGGCAGTCCGGCTTGGAGCGGGAGCGAACCCTTTCGTCTTCGCGGTCCGCATCAGTGAATTGCTGGCCGGGACGCTGCCTAACTTGGGTGACGAGTCAAGACAACAGCTGTTGGTGGAACAGTTTTTTGCATGGTCTCCCACCGACGGTAACCGATCGCCTCCGGATTGTAAACGCCACCCAGAGAACTGGCGTGATGGCGCTTGCCCAAGTAGCGAGGGAGCTTACACATGAAGCAGTTGCTGCTTTGGCAACGGAATACAAAGCAAAGGAGGAGCGGTTGAATGGATTAGAAGAGAGACTGGAACCGATTACGCAAGACATCGGGACACTTCGAGTTCCCTCATAGAAGATACGGCTGAAGGGACACTGCTTCATTTGTGGGGAACTGAGACATTGGAATCGCCAATGTCCGTCAAATCGCAATACAGCCTTTGTACGAAATAAATGCTACCAATGTTACTGTTCGCGTGTTCGGGAGTGCATCCTTGTGGCGTTGAATAAAGCTGCGATTGAGGCGATGGTAGAGGTGAATGGAAAAGTGGAGAGGTGTCTCATTGATACAGGAGCCGCAGTTTCCTTAATCAGTCACAGAGATGGGGTGAAAACTCAAGCGTGTTCCATGGTTATGAAGGCGGTCGGTGGTTACCATATACGCCTGCATGGTATGGCAGAATATGTGGTTGTCGTTATGGGTCGGAAGTTAAAACATCTCTTCATCGTGTCGCCGGACACAAATCAGACTGTCCAGGGTGCTGACTTTCTCCAAGTCAGTGAAGCAATCGCCGATCTGAAACGAGGATAGCTGGTTACGAAATACGGAGCTATGCAGCTTGTTGGCAGAGAAGTACCCATGGGGGTGTGCTCGGTCGTGGCCGTTTTACACACAAGTCCAACCCTTCAATCGCTTGTGAGGAAGTACGATATCCTATTCACGGACGATAGTAATCCTTATGGGTTTTGTGACTGGGTCGAACACACAATTCCACTATCCCATCAGCCGCACTGACCCAGAAGAGTACCAATACACCTGGAAGCCGAGGTCAAAAGGCAGGTGCAGGAGATGCTGAATGCAGGCGGAATAGAGGCTCACAGCCCATATAACTCCCCAATCGTTTTGGTGAAGAAAGCCAACGGGAAGTACGGCTTGTGTCCATCGCAATGAGGCTGGACCTTACCGTGGTGCGATGGTTTGTGTGCCTCAGTGATCCATTGAGCTATACTGCGTGGTGCTTTTTTGTGCACCTTCAGAGCCACTCATACCAGATTGGTCAATGGTTAGAGGCCAGACAAACTCAGCCTCCTGGTCCTCCAGGTTGGGGGTTGGAATGAGGGTGGCTCCTTATTCTTTAAAACGGACTCCTTGTAGTCCAGTGCCAAACCCGCTGCCTTGCGGCCAGGTTTTTGAACCAAAGGCTTTGGTTGAGAACCCTAATCGTTCTCCTGTCTAGGCCTGGGCAACCTGACAGTATCCTGCCCACGCAATACAATGAATCACACTTCAAACAAATTTCTGATGCTCTGGCCACCGCAGAGGATAATCAACGGTGCCCTATCTGCTGCATCGAGCAGGGTGGATAGGGGTTAGGATGCTACTGCTCAGGCCTTCCCATCTTCTTATTCCCCTTCTTGCGCTTTTTCACCCTTATCGTCCCGTTCCAGCTTTACTTTTATCCCCCCTGTTTTCAACCCCCAATTCTCGGCCCTCCCCCACCTTGCTTCAAAAGTTGCTTGTCTTTTAGTTTCAACTCACACGTGAACGCAGAGCGTCATTCCTGCACTGTCGACAAGCCCATGTCCAATCAAGCGGCCCATTCCAGTTCATCGGCTTCCATTTGGAGCCCTCGATCCTCCTTCAGACTGGTATGCCTCAATGTTCGCACATTGCTTCAGATCGGTCAACAGGCAGCACTTGCCCGCACACTAGAGACCCTATCGATTGATATCTGCTGCTTATCGGAGACCCGCCTGCAAGACTCGAGCTCTGTGCTCACTCTGCGATCCCCTTCAGGTGACACTAGCAGCACTTTCTCATTGCGCCTATCCGGTGACGATGCAGCTTCGAGCACCGGCCAAGCCGGTGTTGGTATTGCCCTGAGTCCCCGGACTGAAGCTGCTCTGGTTGATTGGATTCCAATCAGTAGCCGGATGTGTGCGGTCAGATTGGCTGGCTCGTTCAAAACTTCGAAGTCGCGTGGGACTAACAGGTGTCTATTCGTTATCGCTGCCTATGCACCGACAAACTGTAGCGATGACTCGGTAAAAGACGACTTCTATCG